AATTCTTATATGTCACATTTAAAAATAATTTTTAAATGAACTAAATTTTAATTAATTAAAAAAATAAGATTAACCAATGTGGTGATTTGAAGGAAAATGGTCCCTAAAGGGAGTGGCACTATTAGGAAGTGTGACCTTGTTGGAGTAGGTGTGGCCTTGTTGGAGGAAGTGTGTCCCTGTGAGGGTGGGCTTTGGGGTCTCTTAAGCTATGTCCAGTGTTACAGTTCACTTCCTGCTGTCTGCAGATCAAGATGTAGAACTCTCAGCTCCTTCTCCAGCACCATGCCTGTCTGCATGCTGCCATGTCCCACCATGATAATAGACTAAACCTCTGAAATGTAAGTCACTCCAATTTAATGTTTTCCTTTGTAAGAGTCGCCATGGTCATGGTGTCTCTTCACAGCAATAGAAGCCCTAATTAAGAGAATCAGGAATAACTAGGCGTAGTGGTATACACTTGTAATTTGGAGGATTGAGATGGGTGGGTCAGGAGTTCAGGAAACCTTGTCTCAAAAAACAAATAAGCAAAATTACAGTATCTTCCTTTCTTCATTTGTTTGAGACAGGGTTTCTCTGTGTAATCCTGGCTGTCCTGGAACTTACTCTGTAGACCTGGCTGGCCTCAAATTCACAGAGATCCACCCACCTACCTCTGCCTCCCAAATGCTGGGATTATAAAAGCATGTGTCATCACGATTGGCAGAATCTTCCTTTTTAAAAATTTACATTTTTTTTTTTTTTTTTTTTTTTTTTTTTTGGTTTTTCGAGACAGGGTTTCTCTGTGTAGCTTTGCGCCTTTCCTGGAACTCGCTTTGGAGACCAGGCTGGCCTCGAACTCACAGAGATCTGCCTGGCTCTGCCTCCCGAGTGTTGGGATTAAAGGCGTGCGCCACCACCGCCCGGCTTAAAAATTTACATTTTTTAAGACTAAAATTTCCTGGGTTCAACTGGGCAGTGGTGGTGCATGCCTTTAATTCTAGCACTTGGGAGGCAGAGGCGGACAGATCTCTTTGAGTTTGAGGCCAACCTGGTTTACAGATTAAGTTCCAGGACGTTGAGCCAGAGATACACAAATAAACCTTGTCTTGAAAAACAAAACAGAAAGAAAAAAAAAGAAAGAAAAAGAAAGAAAGAAAGAAAGAAAGAAAGAAAGAAAGAAAGAAAGAAAGAAAAAAGAACCACCACAACAAAAAAACAAAACAAATCAAACCCAAAACCCTTCTATGTTCAAAAGTAATCCCTCCCACCTCAGCATCAGACTAGCTGGGATTAGAGGTGTGCACCAGCATGCCAGGCAGAGGGATATTCTTATTATTCTTACAGCTATTTCCCTGTGTCTTCTGTAATTCTGCCCCTCCACAACCAAATTGAGGCCCCCCTCCCCATAAATGCTTTGAGTTAATGTGATGATAAGTTCAAGTGTGTTCTAAAAAAAAAATCTTCCCCAAGAAAGTTTCCCTAAAAATCTTTCTTGAACTTCACACTACAAAAATCACCCTAACAGTAAAGATAAAACCTTTCCCACTGAGACTGAACAGCCTCCACACAGGGCAGGTTCAACCCTACAGCCAAATGTCAGAACTACCATTCTTGACAAATGCGTTTGCTGTGCATTTGTCTCAGGCCACTCCCTTCCAATGTGAATGTCCCCAGAGAGTTCAACACAGTGACACCTCAGAGGGACTCAGCAGTTGCCACACCCATGAAAATTAGACTTGAAAGATGTTTCTGTTTAAGTTCTGGGACAGGGCTCAGCAGACTGCAATTTGTGGAGCCACACCTGGTCTTAGTTTTATAATCTCTGACCGTCTGTTTTTGTTAATAAAGTTTTATTGGAATGCTTCTTCCCCCATTTACTGAAATACTGTGTATGGCTGTTTTTACACAGTAACAGCAGGGCTGAGTGGTTGTGACAAAAACCATACGATCTATAAAGGCCAAAAAATATTTGCTCTCTGGCCTCTTACAGAAAAAGTATGATGACCCCTGGTCCAGGGTCACAGTGTGACAGAGGAGATAAAATACTTTCCAAATTCTGCTTCTTGTTTACCTCCACATGATGCTTCTGAGATACAGTACGGTGCAAATTCAGGACAGGCTTGGCCACCCGACCAGGTTCCTAACCAATCACAGCTGTTTCCTCTTAAAGCCAATGTACTCGTTACTAAGGAAATTTCTTTGGAAAGTTTTTCAGGTGCTTTTCTCTTTCGTATTTTCTCCTGTTTCCCCCTCTATCCAGCCAGACGCATCTATGTAGTTAAAAGATAATGGGAACTGCCAGCCACAGCAGGAAGACAACAGGAAAGGAGGTGGTTAATATTTTGTTTTTGATCCTCCCAAGGTGGTCTTTTTTTTTTTTTTTTTTTTTTGGTTTTTTGAGACAGGGTTTCTCTGTTCAGTTTTGATGCCTCTCCTGGAGCTCTCTCTGCAGACCAGGCTGGCCTTGAACTCACAGATATCCGCCTGGCTCTGCTTCCTGAGTGCTGGGATTAAAGACGTGCACCACCACCGCCCGAAAATTTTATTTTTTTATTTTGTGTGCATTGGTGTTTTGCCTGCATGCATATCTGTGTGAGGGTGTCGGGTCCTCTGGAACTAGAGTTACAGACAGTTGTGAGCTGCCATGCGGGTGCTGGGAATCGAACCCAGGCCCTCTGGAAGAGCAGTCAGTGCTGTTAACCACTGAGCCATCTCTCCAACTCCATTTTTTAACTCTACAGTAAACAGGACATTTTTATTTTATAATATATAAACATAAGCATGAGAACACACACACACACACACCACAGCTTGCAAGACAATATGTTTGATAGGTTTTATTGCTAAAGAGGACTTTCAAATTTTTTTATTTCTCCCTTTGAGTTATTATCCTAGAATTCCACATAAGGTAGTAAGCCAGTTTAGAAAGGATTAGGAGATGTGGCCTTTTTGTGGGACATATGTCACTGGGAGTGGACTTTGAGGTTTTAAAAGCCCACACCAGGCTCAATCTCTCCTCCTCCTCTCTCTCTGCCTGTAGATAAAATGTAAGCTCTCATCTACTGCTCCAACACCATGACTGTCAGCCTGCTGCCTGGTGCTGGAGCAGTCATGATGGTCCTCCTCTGAAACTGTAATGTAAGCATGCCTCCAATTAAATGTTTTCTTTCTTTTATAAGCAAAAAAAAAAGATAGTGAGCCAAAGAAACAAGGGACGGACTTCACTTTCTCACTCTAGACTATGAGGAAAAGCAGAGGGTGGGAGAGTACCCACCAGGAGTGTGGTTGCCTCTCCTCTTTAAACCAAATGTGTGCCTTGCCTGAATCCGGATTTCTTGGGTTCAAATCTTGGGTCAACCTTGAGCACCTGCTCAGCCTCCTGGGCTTCTCTTTCTTCTTCTATAGATTGGTGGTAAGAATGGAAACCACTTTCCAGAATTATTATGAAAAGTAAGCAGTGTATGCTAAATGTTGAGGATAGTTCTTCTCAAAGAGAGTAGTGAAATGTTTCCCAGAGGCCCATATCTTGAAGGCTTGGTCATCAGGAGATGGTGCTATTGGGAGGTAGTGGAGCGGGGAGCCAGTGGGAGGAAGTTAGGTTATTGTGGGGCTTGCCCTTGAGAGGGGGTGAATGGACTCCCTCTACAACACACGTTTATGATTTTGGAGCGCTGCTACAGGGCCTGCCAACTGTGATCTCTGAACTAAAGTCTCTGAACCCACATGCCAAAGGCTGATTGATTGCCCCAAGTATTTTGTCACAGTGACAGAAAGCTGACTGACACAGATGTAATTGTGGGAGGTAGGGCGTGATGGGTCATCTTGTTGATTGACATAATAATCACGCATCATCTAACCTGCTCACACAGTCTAGCAGGGTGGGACTTAGATGTGTAAGAGAAGTTAAGAAACTCTGTGTGTGTGTGTGTGCGCGTGTGTGCGTGTGCGTGTGTGCGTGTGCGTGTGTGTGTACGTGTGTGTGTGCGTGTGCGTGTGCGTGTGTGTGTGTGTGTGTGTGTGTGTGTGTGTGTGTTCACATATGACAGTGGTAAGAATAAACACAGGACTCTGCCCTGCCCGTTCCTACCTCCCGTTACCCTGAATGGAAATTCACCCTGACAGCCCTCATCTAGCACATTCACAGACACTCCCACTACAGCATCTTGAGTCTAAAACAGGTCTAGGAACAAGACAGAAGTGTTTTAGGTTCTAAGGTAAACAGGAAAAATAATCAGTTTCCAAAAAAAAGTCTGGCTGTTGTAGCTCTCTTTTAGAAGTGGAGGAAATGCAGCTGGCTTCATGAAAGGATCTGAAGGCACAGCTTTCCCCATGCTCTCTAACCTCTGTCTCCCTCTCACACCGGGAGAACAGTTGAAACAATCAGTCTCTCGGCAGGAATCAATCTGTCGTGAAGCTGTATCGAATACCTTGTAGTTTTGTATCCTCCTGGGTAAGGTACTTCCTCCTCTCCCCAACTCTTAAGAATGGAGGGCACACCGGGCGGTGGTAGTGCACACCTTTAATCCCAGCACTCAGGAGACAGAGGCAGGTGGATCTCTGTGAGTTCGAGGCCAGCCTGGCTACAGAGGGAGATCCAGGAAAGGCGCAAAGCTACACAGAAAAATCCTGTCTCGAAAAACCAAAAAAAGAAGAAGAAGAAGAAGAAGAAGAAGAAGAAGAAGAAGAAGAAGAAGAAGAAGAAGAAGAAGAAGAAGAAGAAGAAGAAGAAGAAGAAGAACGGAGGGCACAAACAGTGCAGATGAGAAATCCCTGAAACTTCTGTCTTGAGACTATGCTGAAGGCTACCCGACCCTTGTGACTGAAGACCCTCCCTACTCTGAACCACTAGTGTGAAGTGTGAAGACTCCCTTAGAGCTACTCTCCAATTTCCTTGGCAAATATGCAGATTTACTTTTTCAAGCAGTAAATCTACTGCCTCAAAGCAGACGAGGTAACCTCAGATGACCTGGCGGGGACTGGAAGGGGGACTCAAAAGGCCACCTATCGATACGCCACATGCAGGGCAGACACTTGCACACATGTGCGCCTCCCCCAGGGGCTGAGGCCAAGCCAAGCATCCCGCATCAGCGGATGAATAGCAGGTCTGTCTTGCCGCGGCACTGTCTCCCACCCCAGAAAAGCTGCAGCCACAGACTGCCCGGCCGAGGAGCCCACGCAAACTCCAGGCACTCCGAGGGTGGAAGGAAGCCGGAGGGCAGCAAGATGGAGTCAGACCGAGAAGTCATCCACCTTCAAGTAAGTTCTGTCAGGAGCCAGGAGAAGGGAACCTGGGCCTTTGGCCACTTGATAGCCACCCCCACCCTGTTCTCTCTCTCTTGCTTACCCCGTTCTCTGAATGTTCCCCTGGCCTTTGCTCTTTATTTCCATTTCACGCAGTTCCCTAGGGCTGGTTCCTCACATGCCTTTAGATATATGAAACGTGGATTATTTCAATTCCTCTTGGTTTCTGCTTCCCCTTGTCAGAGAGCTTCTTAGAGCTGTGTTATCAAAAAATGATTTCATATTCTGTGCACTGCTTCCTCCCAAACCCTGGGACAGTGGCAGCTATACGAGTGCTGCCCAGATGTTCTCTAGGGACAAAGGAATACAAACTTGGAGAGAGAGACAGAGAGAGAGAGAGAGAGAGAGAGAGAGAGAGAGAGAGAGAGAGAGAGAGAGAGAGAGAGAGAGAGAGAGAGAGAGAGAGAAAGAGAGAGAGAGAGAGAGAGAGAATGAGAGAGACAGTTTGGAAAAAACCTAAACTTTTATGAGAGACCCGAGTTTCTCTATAAGGCTTTCTCGTGTGGGACAGACAGAGAGTGTCTCCTTCGGACGGCGGCAGCACAGAAGGTAGGCCACCATCTCATCTATTGGGGAGAGGCAGTCAGGCGTCCTACCCTCGCTGCCACAGGCTTGGAAGGCACTACAGGGAATGGAAGGTTCTGGCAAGGCAGAGTGTCAACCAAGCAGGGCATCGTCAGCTCTAAGTTGCATGAGAACTTTTCCAAGAGTCAGACAATTAAAGAGCAGAAAAGGACTTTAAAAAAAATTCTTTATAGACTTATTTTTATGTTTCTGAGTATTTTGCCCACATGTATGTATGTACACCACATGCATGCCTGGTAACTGTGGACATCAGAAGAGGGTCTTGGATTTCCCGGAACAGGAATTACTGATGGTGGTGAACCACAATGTGGTTGCTGGGAACTGATAGGAGTTGAACCCAGGTCCTCTGCAAGAACAGCGAGTGCTTTTAACCACTGAGCCATCCCTCTAGGCCCCAGAAAAGGACTTTTAAAAAAAAAAAATTATTTATATATTTTTTTGTTTACATCGGTGCTTTGCCTGCATGTATGTATACGTGAGGGTGTCAGATCTTGGAGTTACAGTTGTGAACTGCCATGTGGGTGCTGGGAGTTGAAGCCAGGTCCTGTGGAAGAGCAGTTAGCAGTTAGCAGTTAACCACTGAGCCATCTCTCCAGCTCCCTAGAAAAGGACTTTTAAGATTAAGAATTTTTGATGCCAAAACATGATCTTCAGACTAAACACAAGCCGCCAAACTAGTGTACACTTGACCTGAGCTGGAGAGGTGGTCAGCCTCCTGCTCTCCTCGAAGACTTGAGTGTGGCATTTTGGGCACCCAGAGCCTCACACGCTCAGCACATGCTCAGCACACACTCAGCACACACTCAGCACATACACTGCCACTGAGCTGCATCCTCAACCCTTCTACCTTCTGGATGCATTTAGAGCAGATTTAGGTTCATAGCACACTTGAAAAGAAGGCACAGGGAACTCCCACAGACTCCCCACCCTCGTAATGCGCAAACTCCAACATTATCATCTCCGCCCACTAGAACCGACCCTCCATTATCAAAGTGTACAGTTCACAGTGCGCATGAAGAAACGCAGTGGCCTGTTTCCACCACTCTAGGACCATTATTTCCCCTGTCTCCACCTGTTCATCCTTCTCAAGCCCGACAGGCACCAATCATGTTGTCTTTTCCAGTTTTGCCCTACCCAGACTGTCATATGGTTGGTATTATACAAATTAGACTTTTCAAACTGGCTTCTCTCACTTAGTAATCTAATACTTCTCCATGCCTTGACAGCTTATTTCTTTGTTTGTGTGTGTGTCTGGGGAAGTCCACATATGTGCGTACACGAGTGTGTGAGCACACAGAGAGGTCAGAGGACAATCTATGATGTCATTCCTCAAGTGATAGTCACTTTTTTTTTTTTTTGGTTTTTCGAGACAGGGTTTCTCTGTGTAGCTTTGCGCCTTTCCTGGAACTCGCTTTGGAGACCAGGCTGGCCTCGAACTCAGAGATCCGCCTGGCTCTGCCTCCCGAGTGCTGGGATTAAAGGCGTGCGCCACCACCGCCCGGCAACTTTTTTTTTTTTTTTATGAAGCAGGGTCTCTTACTGGCCTGGAATTCACCACGTGGGCTAGGCTGGCTGATCAGTGAGCCTCTGGGACCTGCCTGTCTCCATTTCCTCAGTGCTGGGATTCTAAGCACACATCACCATGCTTAGCTTTTTTTTTTTTTAAGTGAATTCTGGGGATTGAACTCAGATCTCTGTGCCTACAAGGCAAGCACTTTACCAGCTGAGCCGTTTCTCAACCCCAGCATATTTCCTTTCAGGACTGATGAACAGTCCAGTGCCTGGGTTTACTAGTTTATTCCTCTCCTTTTTCTTTTCTTGGCCTTTCCATTGTTTTTTTCCGTTCCCCTTCCCTTTAGCAGCCGCCCCACCCCCACCTTTTCCTTTCTATGTAGCCCAGGCTGGCCTTAAACTTTGGGCAGTCCTTCTGCGTAGACCTGCAAGTGCTGGGAATACAGGCGTGGACCACTATGAACAACAATTTGTTTACTTTTAGACATTTTCATCAGCATATACTAATTGTACAAAATAATGAGTTTCACTATGAGATTACTATGTGTGTGTATAGTATATTTTGATCATATTCACTCTATTGATTTCTATGTTATTGTCACCCCCCAACACACACACATGCATACACTTGCACACATGCACACACACACTCACACACACACTTGTGCACATGCACACACACTCGCACATGCACACACACTCACACACACACTTGCACACATGCACACACTCACACATGCACACATTCACACATATGCATACACACACTTACACACATGCACGCACACATATTTGCACACATGCACACACTCACACATGCACACACTCACATATGCACACATACACTTGCACACACACTCACACACATGCACACACACTCACACACGCACACACACTCACACATGCAATGGTTCCCTTCCTCTCTCCAAACACAGTTGACTGTATGTCTATTTGCAGGCTCTGAACTGTCCCACTGATCTAGTCTTTTGCCAATAGCATATTGTCTTGATCTGTATAGATTTATGGTGCCTCATGAGTTTGGGTCATATCAGTCTCCCACTTGTTTTCTTCCAACACTGTATTATTATTGGCTGTTCTAGATTTGAGTGTTTGCCTCTGCATATGCACACTGCCGAGCCATTTTGCAGATATCCAAAAATTTATTTTGATTGGGATTGTTGTGATTCTGTAGATCAAACCGAGCAGAACTGATATCTTGGTAACAATGGACCTGTCTTCCTGCGTTCACTCTGCTGTCCATCGGCTGGACACAGTGGCCAATAACCAAGATCATTCTGGGGCAAAAAGACGCCGCCCGCCCGCCCGCCTCAAAGACAAAGCAAAGGCTGTGACTCCAGCTCAGTGGTCATGCTTCTGTCTAGTGTAGGTGAGGCCCTGAGTAAACTGGGCAGGAGAGATGGCTTAAAGAGTAAAGAGCCTGCTGTGCAAGCATGAGAACCTGAGTTCAGATCCCTGGACTCCACAGAAATCCAGTCATGGTAGGATCTGTTCTAGTGCTTCTGTGGTGAGAAGAGAGACAGAGAGAAGCGAATCCCTGGAAGTTCCTGTGTTAGTTGGTCTCATGTAGTACCAAACAATAACGATCCTGCTTTGAACGAGGTAGAAGGTGAAAATCCATACCCAAGGGTGTCCTCCGACCACACATGTGCTACAGCGAGCACACACACACACACACACACACACACACACACACACACACACACACTTCTGCCTTGTTGATTTCTGCTCTGTACTTTATTATTCATTTTTTCAGCTTACCTTCATTTAATTGTTCTTTTTTTTTTTATTTAACTAGGTAGTCTGTTGTTTGCTTGCTTTGTTGTTTTTTGTTTGTTGGTTGGTTTGGTTTTTGTTTTGTTTTGTTTTTTCGAGACAGGGTTTCTCTGTGTAGTTTTGGTGCCTGTCCTGGATCTCACTCTGTAGTCCAGGCTGACCTCGAACTTACAGAGATCCGCCTGGCTCTGCCTCCCGAGTGCTGGGATTAAAGGCGTAAGCCACCACCGCCCGACTTGCTTTGTTGTTGTTCAGAAAAGGTCTCATAGCCTAGACAGTCTTCAGTCTCATGTAGCTAAGGCTGGCCTTGAACTCCTGATCGTCCTGGTTCCTGAATATTTGGTGTTTTTTTTTGTTTTGGTTTTGGTTTTGTTTGTGTTTGTGTGTGTGTGTGTGTATATGCATGTGCATGTGAGTGTGTGTGTATGCATGTGTGTGTGAGTGTGTGTATATGCATGTGTATGTAAGTGTATGAATGTGAGTGTGTGTGTGTGTGTGTGTGTGTGTGTGTGTGTGTGTGTGTGTGTGTGTGTGTTTTCAGACAGGGTCTTGCTGTGTAGCCCAAGATTCCCTTGAACTTCCTGTCCTCCTGTCTCAGCTTCCCACAGGCTTTAAGGAGTCCGTTGCCATATATCACTTGCTCTTTTCCTACTTTCCTAATTTAGAAGCATAGATTACCGGTTCTAGATGGTTCTTCTTTTCTAGTATCCACTCTGAGTGCTCTAAATTTCCCTCTGAACACTGATTTTGCTGCATCCCGTAAATTGTGTCTTCCTTTTCATTTAGTTCAAAATACTTTCAATTTCTCTTGGAAGGTCCTTAGTTGCATGGATTACCTAAACGTGTGCTGTTTAATCTCCACAATTTGTGGGTTTTCCAGTTACATTTCTGTAATTGCTTTCTGGTCAATTTCACTTTGGTCTAGCAGCAGACATCACATGATTTCTATTTTCTTTTTGAGACAGGGTCTCTCTACTTAGCCCTGGCTGTCTTGGAACTCACTATGTAGACCAGGGTGGCTTTGAACTTACGGAGATCCTCTGCCTCTGCCTCCTGAGAGCTGG